ATTGGCAGAAGGAAAGGCATTTTCTTCTCACTTTGGCCATCAGAGCCTTCCCCTCCATGACAGACATCCCTTTGAAATCCTCTGTCTTGCCTCTTCACACCTCGGTGCGGAGCAAGGGCTGCACCCAGGTGGCCTGGCCAACTGCTCCAGCACAGTTTGTGCAGGGACCCAGCACAGGCCCTGCAGACACAGCAGGATTTCAAGCCTGGCTGTGGGAACGAGCTCTGCTAAGCTGTTGCCTCACTCCACCTTAAGGGCACATAAGTGGGAAAAGCTGGTAATGCAGCGAGGAAAGCACAGGGATTAGCAGGCAGCCAGTTCTCTTTGGGAGCTGGGGGGGATCTAGCCTGCCTTGTAGGGTGCCAGCAGTGCTGGGGAGGAGGGTGAGCTGTGCCCATCCCACCACACCAAAATTAGGCACCACAGCTGGGGGACACATTGCAGGGAATGAGCACGAGTGAGTCTGTCTGGCAGCTCCGAGTCCCCCAGGGGAATAGGACAGTATTTCGAGGCTGGCTGTTTTCCAAAGGAGAGCAAGGCTGGGCTCTGCAGAGGGGTTGGCTGGAGCAGGAACAGCGTTGGGATCTGTGTGTGCATCCCCTCCCTCGTAGCTGGAAGGGTCTGGAGTACTTGTCTGCAGACAAGTGCATCGAATCGGATGTGATTTACGTCCGCAGGCGTCACGAGGGAGAGGACGTGTGATGGGGAGGCGAGGAAGGCGCTGCGAGGAGGGAGGGGAGAGCAAAGAGAATTTTCTCTACGCATCCTTGGCTTCTGCAAAGCAGGAAAGACACCTTTTCAGCTGAGTTTGTTCTTAGGCCTGCGGGCAACGAGTGCTGAAGAATTCCTGTCTCCGAAGGGGAAGGAAGGAAGGAAGGAAGGGTCAGAAAGCCCCAATTTCAGTCGCCCACGAGCGGCAGATCCTGGATGTCCCAACCCTCATCGCGGGTCCCTGCGTGGCAGTGCCCAAGACGGGAGGAGCTGTGTAAGCTGGAGGAACGGGAACGCCGGCGGAGGTTGGGGAGAAGAGGAACGTGGCAATTTGGCTGCTCTTGGATGAGCCCTCTCTCAACACACCTGGCGATGGCATCCTGGGCACGGCAGCTACGGCCGAGCAGGTGCCTCTGGCCCTCCGGCTGGAAGAGCCCATCCTGCTGGCTAAGAAGCTCCGCCGGGACGGCAGCAAGTCGCCAGGGATGCGGCGCAGCGGGGCTGGCCTCACGGCAGGGCTCGGGTAAGGCAGGGAAGACGCAGTCAAAACAAGCGGAGCGGGAGCAGCTTCCCTCCTGGGGATCTGCACGGGGCCAGCGGCGCCGAAAAAGCCACGTCTGGATGGGCAGCAGGGAGGTGGCCACGGGTGAAGGCTCCATTTCTGCCACGTAGTTATTCAGGTGGGAGAGGAGGCGCAGGCGGATGGGGTCGGCGGCGTTTTGCCCCTCCAGGATGCCCAAGTACCTGACGACTTCGGTGAGGCACTCGCGGAAGCCAATACTTCTGTAATCCACAGCTAGAGCTCGAGCATCCAAGAAGCCTGGAAGGAGAGGGTGACAGTAAGCCCGTGCAGAGCTCAGGAATGTGCTTTGATTTCACTACCCTCTCTACTGCACTGTGTATTTCACTTGAGGCACTTTGCTGCCGTGTGATATTCCTGAAGCAGACAGCCAAGTGGGTGTCCGAAGGGACTGGATGTTTGTGTGGGTGAGAATAGCATCTCTGGTTATCTCATTGGGATAAACCTGACAGGGTCGTGATGCCTCTTACTGCAGCATGTGAGATGAGTAAGAGGCTTCATTGACTGTGCTCAGGGAGGAAGGATTTTTTCCCTATTGGATTCTGTTGGTTATCACTCCTGCAGACATGACTGTGGGCTAGATGGATCCCTCTTTGCAAAGGGACCATCCCTGGTCTTGCAAAAGAGCAGGACACTGCGTCTCCTCAACGCACAGCTCAGCACCACTTTCCTCTGCCTGACTCCCAAACTTTAGACCTCCTCTAAAGCCCAGCTGAAGGACACAGGGCAGCGGCAGAACCAAAACCACTGGGCTGAGAAAGCTCAAACCCACAGAAATTAACAACCAACAGCTGATTTTTTAGGCTTCTGCTCCCAACTTGAAGCTTTATGAGACGATAAGCAATAAAGCAGAGAATGTCACAGCACAGTGAAGCGTTGGACCACTGTGCTTGACGGGGTCTCTCGTGACAATACAGCCCTTTGTTGCAGTGCAGTCAAACTGAATATCTAAACAAATGTTCCAGACCAAGTTACAGCTCTGAACCAAAGCCTGGATGCCAGCAATGTCCCCAGCAAGCCAAAACTGGGTGGTAAGCAAGCCAGAGGCTTCTTTACTGGAGCTGTGATCTCCATCCTGTTAACTGGAACAGGACAGAGGGTCTGTACTGAGGTCTCAGTACAAATAAGACCTTTGTTGAATTTTGCACAGGGCTCTCTCTCTCTTCTTATAACAACCAAGACACACACACACACACACACACAAAAAAAAAAAAAAAAAAGGAACAGAAAGGGAAAAAAGCCTTGTTTATTTGCAGAGTCCCCATGCAGAACTCAGCCTCCGCAGGAAATGTATCCCAGGGAGGAGGTAAAGAGTTTAATATCGTTTTTCTGGAAGCAAACTCCATTTCTGAGCAGGACTAAGCACCTCTCTGGCTGAACAGCTTTCAGTGGGGTGTGTGACAAAAACAGCAGTGCCATTCCTGTTGGTTTGTGGAGCTCACAGTCCCACATTCCCTAGGCTGCCAAACGGCTGCATGGGATGCTGACCCATATGTAAAACAACAGGGCAGGAAAACATCCATCTGCCCTCCCTCTAAAGATATTTCCCTTGGGAAACAGGCAGGGCAGCATTTGGTGCTGGGTGGTGTCAGCTTGTTGCTGCATCTGGTGGGGAATTTTCCTTCCAGGTTTCCACCTTCACCTCACCTGTATGCTTAGAAGAGCAGTTCTTACCTGTTCCTCCAGTGGCGTGAAGCATTTTTAAGTGATCCACTGTCATTTGTAGAATTTCTGCCTTCTCCAGCTTGGAAGATCCCTTTGTGTTGGGAGCAGAAAGAAAAGCCATTCATCATTTGATGCTCTAGGGCTTTGTGCCTCTCAGGACTTAGAGTCTGACCAATGATCTCCTCCCCAAAACCTTCCTGAATCTCAGGAGTGCTCAGACTGGCACAGAGCATCCATCCAGGCTCTGCTTTTTATATCAAGTGACTAGGAAAATTCGCTCCTCCCCAAGATACCCCAACACAGATTGAAAAATCCTTCTTTCCATGCTCCTTCATATCTGCAGAACACTTTCTAGATTGAATTTATCCTCCCTGGGGCTGCTGAATATTGGTTAATATCGTTTTACCACCCAGTTTCACCACCTACTTACTCCCTGAAGTGACGATGATAAGAATGACAGTGCTGCTCCAGACTTACTGATTCTGAGGGCTCTACCCCAAACACATGGGAGGAAATCTCAAACACACACAGACACACACACACACACACCTGTTTCTCAAAGGCTGTGGGCACCAGGCGCCGCAGTTCCGAGAGGCTGCTGTTGATACGGTCACGGCGTCGCTTCTCGATGATCTGCAGGAGATTTCCAAGTGGAGAGAAGAAACCAAAGTCATTTACAGCCACAGCTCATGGGGTCTAAACCCCTCATTGACAGCAGGTTGGCAGCTTGATTGAACAGAACTATATACATAAATGTTTTGGGTGCAAAAGTTGAGCAAAGAGACTGATTGGTAGGATAACCCCAGGTGAAATCGTTCTCCTCCAGATTTAGCCACACCTTTTTCCGCCAGATTTGAGGCCAAACCTCTGCAAAAAATTTGACTGTGAGGAGAGTCCTGCAGGAGATGGAGCAGGGAACAGTGTCAAGGTGATTTGGCATGATAAGAACATGCCAAGAGCCCCACACTGCACATGGTGGGGACATCCCTGGCACACAGCCTGACCCCCCAGGGGCACAGCACAGCCACCTTGGTCCTCATAAGTAACACTCACCCCTCTCCTCTTCTTCCTGGCTTGTATCTGAGATGTCGTGGTGGGAGACACAGACCTGGAAACATGGCTGGAAAGGAAGAAGAGGGAATCATTTCTTGCACTAGCTGGAGAAGTTGCACATATGCTCTACACACGTTTGCCATCTGCAGTTCTCCCCCCACCCCCAAAAAATGTCTTCTACGGTTCCCATCTCAGTTTTACCCACAACACAGAGCTCAGGAATTGGGGATGGGGAGCCAAGCAGAGACTTGAATCCCATTCTCTCCCCTCTGAGATTCTCCCACCAGCCTGGGACAGATTTCTGCTCCGAACTGCCCATCCACTCCCAGGCACACTCCTCCTTCACTCTCAGCCTGCGCTGGCGTCTCCACAGGGCTGGAAAAGCTCCACAGCTCTGGAGTCATGGCCTTTTTTTTCCTCCATGTGTGAACCTCCTGGCTCTCATGTCTGAGCCTGCCCTGTCTGCAGGGCTTTGCATCTCAGAGCTGTGATAGCACGAGCCTGGATGTGAGCTCCCACCCAGGGAGGGCTGGTTGCTCCGCAGGGTGAGGCCAACAGCAGCATTGATGTGGTTTCTGAGGCCTTCCCGGAGAGTTGCTTCCCAAACCACAATTTTTGGGGTGGGCTGTGATATTCTGAGTGTACAGACACCTCTGAACCAGACAGAGAGGGGCCAGGACCTGGGTGGGGAGAACACCTGGCAGGAGGTGATGGAGAAGGGACCCTGCCAGCCCTGAGGACCACCTCTGCTCAAGGGATGAGGGACACAGGCTAAGGAAAAGGGCTCCACAAACTATCCTGTGCCTGGCAGGCACAGGTGAGGCTAAAGACAGCAAAGGTCAGCACTAGACATGAACAGGGAGGCAAAGATCAACCCTTAGGTCCTCACAATGATGGATAACTGGGAGCAGGAAACTCCCTGGAGCAACACCCCTTGGCTTTTGGGGAGGCAGCTGAGCCATTTTCTGCCTCCCCCGAGTAGGGTTTCTCCCTCTGGAAAGTGGAACTGGCTCAGGGCTGGTTTTGAGCCTTACAAAACTCAGTGCATGATGTGAGCACACATCCATCTGCAGTCCTGGCCAGCACAGCACATCAGCAGGACCACAGGCCACGTCAGACAGACAAATCTGGAAAGGGGCACTTGGGTTCACCTCATCAAATCAAAATCTTGTCCAGTTTGACAAAGCATTTTAATAGCAGTCTATTAACGATGCTTCTGCACAGACAGTGCTGTCTGCAGCAAGGCAAAAACCAGACCAAACTCAGCCATTAAAAATGCATTCTGTTAGGCCCAAGCGAGGTGCTTTTAGAAGTGGTTTTACACCATCAGGCAAAATAACACGTTCTGCTGCTGCCTGCTCTGCTCATCTCCAGGCAGGTGCCCTGTCTGAATGGCTGCTGGGTGGGTTTTCTCTGGGCATAGGTGCTGGCTGGCTCCATGAGAACCCAAACACACGTGTTGAGCACACAGGATGTGAAAACAGGCTCTGCATGGACACTGGGGTGTTGTGCTGAACTGGCCTGGCAGCACAGGAATGTGGAGTAGGCACTCAAGGAGGAACAGTGACTTTTGAAACTCTCTTTGCAGAGCAGTCTGGACGTGTTGCTCTTTGTGAGCTGCAGTTCCAGATGTGGATCTCAAGTCCCAGCTTAGCGCAAAATGTATTTTACAAATCTGTTTGACAGATTTGAACCACATAAAAGACAGTGTAAGTCTATTCTCTGACGATTCAAATTTCTGCATTACTCTCTGCTTGATTTTATCGTTTACAGCAGAATTTTGGCTGTAAACCAAGTGGTATCTTGCACTTTTGCAGTGACCCCGGAGCCTAAACTTGCTCCACACACTGATCCAAGCCTCACACCCGGCGTGACTCATCCCCACACTACGGGGAAACTGGTTTGCCCAAACCACTCGACCGATGGGTAATGGGCTGGGAACCCCAGCCAGGCAGCCTGACTGCCTCCCTCTGCCCTAATCACTCCTCCTCACTCCCCACCTGGAAGTGTTTCATTTTCCCAGATCCGATGGAGGATGGCATTACTTGGGGTGTAACCTCATCAGGGCAGGAACAGCTCTTTTGGCCACGGATTTGCGTGACATGAGGAACAACATACAAGTATACAAATACTGGCAGATCGCAGCCAGCCTGGTTCTACCACTGGCTCAAGAAGACAAACACATTAACAGCACCAGAAAGAGATTAAAAGTTCATCATTACTGTTCTCTGAAAGAAAATATGATGACAATTCCTCTATTTCATCCCTCAGGGTACTACAGACTCGGTGTGCTGCACTGAGGTGGGATTTATTTCACCTGCAGCAGGAAAGTAGTTTAAATATTGATGCAGTTTGAAACTGTATAAGGGGTCAGGGAATTTCTGCAGGGTGTTTCGTGTGGGACATGCCCTGTTCTGCTGTTCTGGATCAGTGAGAAGCAGACTCATGAATTTAGCCCCATGAGAATCTGAGCTTGGCACTGGGCAGACACCTTCTCTGCTCAGGATCCCAAACAGCAAGAGGGGATGAATTAATCTGAGGCCTCACTGGATGTGGAGGGAGAGGGACACTTGGCTACTGAAACAAGAGTTCAAAAGCAGCTGATTTTTGGAGGAGAACAAATAACAGAGCCTTTCCTTCATCCCCAGTGCTGTCTGCACCCTCGGAGCCCAGACATGCCCACGAAGGGCTGACCCAGCCTGGGAACTTGGGCTGTGAGCAGTGCTGGGGATGCTCTTTGCCAGCAGAGCCACAGCCCAGGGGAGTGCAGCAAAGCCTGAGGACATTGCCTGGGGAACCACACACAGGTCCTGGCCTCACTATTCCCTCCCAAGCAGCAAAGCTGAAACAGCAGCTCAGTAGTGCTGGGACGGAGCCCGAGAACTGTGATGCCAAGGGGCACAAGGGCAGCGATGCCAAGGGGTGCAGGGGCAGCCTCCCCCTGCCCAGCTCCCTCCCCAACACAGCCGAGCCCCAGCTGGGGTGTTACAAATGCATCAGCAGAGCAGAAGTGTTTCTCATGCAAAACCTTTTGGTTTCTTCCACATTCCCTGAGAGCCCCAAGATGCAGCAGTACCAGGCAGCTCCGGTACCTTTGCTCTTGGGGGGGCTGCCCCATCTCAGGGTGCTGAGACCTGCCATCAAACAGGCTTCCCACTGCCCTTCTCCCACCTGGCAGGGGAAGGCCATCCCCTGTCTTTAATCTGCACTTTCTGGAATGCAATCCGCTCCTAAAAACCTTTAACACTTGTATCGCGACTTGGGTTTCCTTGCTGGGTCAGTCCCATCGCCAGCACTAACCCATATGATGGGGTGATCCTGCCGACCCCACGCGGGACCAGCCTGGCCACGAGGGCTTAAGAGAGGTGCTGGGGGACTCACGGTGCCCCGGTGGCGGACTCGGTGCCCTCCGGTGCCGTGTCCCGGTGGCAGACCCGGTGTCCACCCGTGCCGCATCCCCGTGCCCTCCCGTGCCGTATCCCGGTGGCAGACCCGATGCCCTCCCGTGCCATGCCCCGGTGACAT